GATTTCCACTTATGATGAATTCGTAATAATAAGTCGATGATCATAATCAGTTGTCAACTGTATCTAAAACGAAAGCAAAGAGCTTCTTTATTACAGGGCATCTAGCTTGCTTAAATATGGTAGATCCCTGGTCAATGACTACTACGTTGAGATGGTATATAAATAGCAGGCCACTGGGGCCTTATGGATTGTTGGTATAGCTTGTTGAGAGGCCACCTAAGTCGATATGTTTCATGTAGTGTAGGTGGATCTCGATATCTTGACATTGGGGAGATTGAATGTATTGTAGTTCCTGAGGTACCTGTGCACACACAATTGACTGGACTTGTAAACATAGATGTGATGTGATACGATAAACATCATCTATGCTGCTACACTGTACAAGGTGGCTTGAGGAGAAAGTGAATGTAGCCTAAGATGCATACTTGTATGCAACAACTTACAAGTTGCTCCAATATCATAATTCTACAAAATATTCTAGTTTTATAATATGATTCTATTTTTTTTCACTTATGAGGACCTGGATATACAAAATGTTTTTTGATTTTGAGTTTTTCAACTTTTAGACGATCGAAAATCGATTTTCTAAATATTGATACTAGAGTCTTGAGAATAGCAAATTTCTATACCAGTATTTTGCCAAAATGACAATGACACAAGCCAAATTTGCATTACTCTTATGGTTGCTGAAAAATTGTTGGTGACTTTTGAAAATGGCTAATTTTGAATAAATGCTGCTAGTAACAGTTTCTAAATTACTATAAGAATGCGGGATGTATGCATAGTGAAAGTTGTAGAAAAAGCGTTTCTTGACGTAACATGTTTGATGCGGAGATAAAGAAGATAATGCGAATGAATAATGACGGAAAATGTTCCAGATGACCGATTTTCAAAGGGCCATACCGCTAGATTTAACTAACTGAACGAGAGCTTCAAACTTAATAACTTCTGTTTCTTTTTCAATTCTGTATACAGTAATATGGTTATTATAGATAAACAAAAAATAGCTTTGATTATCCCCTACCGGTAGCTCATAAAATATATGGTTTTGAGCAAATTTATGAGGGGAACGTACATTTGGTACTTATAACCCTTATATTATATTGGATCTTGAAGTGAACTAGACTAGATTCCCATCATAAACAAAGCCCAAAATAAATGTCATCTCAATCAAACCATGCTACCACCAGCAGATAAGCATGCATAATAATAGTATTAGCATGATGATAGCAAGGGTTAAATGCTCTAAAATAAGAGATGACAGATACTAAAGTAAATGTCAAGGGTATTGTAATGTGTTGTAACATAAATATACCTAAGAAGGATACAGGCTCAACAATAAAGAGCTATTCTTTACGCATAATTCAAAAACCATATATTGAAATACCGTTCTTAATCCATCAGATCAACAACTAAATGACCCAACAAAAATATTATATAAAGTAATGGAATCACTGGCAACTACTAAACTGCTGCCAGATAAGAGATATAAACCAAATAATATAAATAGAGACGTAGAATATACATTTTATTGCACATTATCTTAATTTCAAATAAAGAAGGATTTTAACAGTATTCTACCTGCTTTTTAACCCCTTTTTACTGCAGATCTGACGTAGAACTATCGAATGATGGTCTTTGTTTTGTGCTAGTCCAGTGAGTATTTGTCGATATATGGTCAAAAAAAGAGTGTCATGCAAAATCATGGATTTTTCTTCAAAATCTGCCTGTGATAACAAGCAAAAAAATTGGGTGACCTTTTTTTGGTCAGGACAATGTTGTCAATATTTCATGAAAGAGTTATACCAGAACTTCAAGCAATAGCATATTTGATAGGAAATTTTTTGGTCTACAATGTTTAGTAACGCTTAACAAACTGTTTTAATGACAGATACTGATTAATCTTTAGAAAACAATCAAAAAATTGCAAAAACAATCGCATCAAATATCAGGCGAACAATGCATACCAGAGATTTGAAATAAATACCATTATATTTTCTTTTGAATTCTCTACAAGTTTCATATAAGTTTGAAGAGGTGTTTGCTATCAAGAAACGCGCAATGTTAAGGTTGATAGATTTCGGAATCCCATGGATCATTATTCAGAACAATAAAAATTGAAGCTCCGTTGACCTTCCGCATGTGTACACGACACAACTATGAATTTGACCAAGCATTTTAAAAACCGGAGCGTACGAAAAGGGCCATATTAACTTATTGTTTTTAAGTCATCAGTAGATACTTGACATGTTGGAGACACTTGATTTTAGGACTAGACAGTTGTAGCTTGCTTTGTTCGATTATAATATGTCTTCCAGTTTAAGATATGTCTATTTCCCTTCTAAAAAATAGCATCTCCAATGTCGGTTATCTCATGAAATAGGATTGAATGTTCATTTCTTACAATGTAGCAAAGAGTAAAGAATACGCTACGCGTTTTACTAACAGAAGAGAGTAGCCTTTTCACCCCCTATGTTAATGGTAGAAGTTTTATTTCAGAGCGTTTTTTAGCCCACTTTGAGAGGCTGCTAAACAACGCAGTATGATTGGATTCTCAATCGCTACATTCGTTGTTAAACAACCAAGCAAGGTAGGTATAAAGTAACCAATATATATATATATATAAAGCAGTGCTTTGACATTATTACTTGTGCATTTACCAACTCCATCAATTTTTTCTATTATTAACCAGACTTTGCTCCTCTGTGTTTGGTCTACAAAATGAGTCGTACTTTGAGCACCTACAATGTCTCCTTTAAAATCAGATTTTCAAACCATAAATTGGAGGTTACGGTGGCAAAAAAACGTTTTTCCTTAATAGCAGCACAGAAACATCTATGTGATGGTCAAGTCTATGAAATAAGTTCCAGGCGTTATATGACTCATGCTGGCACACAAAAAGAATTTTATATGCACCAGTGTAGCAAAAGCTAGCTTTGAGCAATTGAATTTGGACAATTTGGCTCGAGATGATCTTTTCGGCAGTGTAGATTCGTGAAACCATTTAAACACGATTTCACTACAATCTTCTGGTGTCGAATCTTGTATTACGGGATTTGCAGGTATTATGAATTTCTATTCGCTCCACTTTGATCCAAAATTTTGTAGTTGACTTTCTCAATTGTGCTGACGCCGACTCAGCCTGCCCAGTTTCAGTCTTTTCTCCTTAAAGAGTGTTTAACATTATGGATAGACTTTAAGTCTAGCTTTACTGCAAGATGTGACATCTCTTCTGTTGTGGACAACCATCAAAATTGTCCTGCTAACCTGATAAGCATCTCGTTCAATCTGAGCAAATTGTTAGATTCATATTTGCATAATATCATCATTGACACTCATATTATTAAGTTACTGTACTCGCGCATTTCAAAGAGAATGTAATTAGCGCCATTCGATGCGGCTTCTTTAGTCCACTAAAGACATATTAGAAAGTTGGGTGAGACAACAACAGTTATAGTCAAAACTTCAAAAAAGGAAACAGACTGGGTTCAAGGCACTGTATCCAGTACGATTAGCCAGGGTACATATCGAGTACAGGCCAAGATATTTGAACAGTAGCTGTCAAGAAAAACGACTTCAAGGCCTTCTCAAAACTAGTGCCATCAGATTTGTTTCTAGATTACAATGTTGTATCAAATGCCCTAGCAAGGCCTCATACGAAGGGCCCTGAGCTACTCTTATGTCCTTTGGGGAAATCATGCTAATTATAATTTACAAATCATTGGTAGTAAACCTATTTGTATTATGCTTCATCATCATGCTGTAAACCCTAGCATAATAAAAAGTACATAAATGCTTTCTCTGGTTGCATTTCCAATGAAAGTGTAATTTTTTGGCAGATTCAATTTTACATTGTATTTTGTCATAACACAAAGATGTTCAGAAACAAGCTGCTTTGTTCTATTATACATCTTCCAGCCATTGAAAACATCACGAAATATGCTCGATTGTAAATTTACTGTCTCCAAAAGGTCTGTATGCTCAGACCATCTCTCTCTTGCTCTTGATATCTAGCAACATGTAATTTAGGGGTAAATTGCATGGCGGCCAAGAAAGTCAGAAACAATCAGCAATCCGTATAATCACAAAGGTGGCCAACAGCTATTGTATGATCACACGATTGACCCTATTTTTGGAGCTTCTTGCTTTGACATACCATCTTTTGAATGAAAACGTATTAAACGGAGAGTTTATGTGTAATAATAAGAAAGGAGCCACCGCTTCTAGTAGTAAATTTGGATCAAGGTGCCAGACAGATTTTATAATCGGTTGATGTCAAAAGAAGAAAGACAAATGCTTGTATAATAAATTTCATCTAAAAATTATCAGTATATCTTTGTTCCAATGACTCATCATTCGAGACTGCAAAGCAGCCTCCCTTATGAATATGAAATCTGTGCATGCAACGACAGCAACTTAAGAAGTTCAACAGAGTGGATCATATATGCCCATCGAACAAAGTATCCACTTTGCATATCTGACTCATTTCCGAGCACATTATGGCAAACCCTAACAATGATAGGCCAGTAACCAGCATTCATCAACAAAGTGCTGCAGCAACACTGTACCACTAGTTTGTGTTTACAATGGGGAAAAGGGCCAAAGGCTTGGTCATTTAAGTCAACGCTACTGTAAACTAATTTACAGTTGTACAAGAATGAGCAGCAAAAGAGAGAAAGACAGAGATTTTGATTGTCGAATTCGGTTTTTCTACTCGATAGAATCAACAGGCTTCTTTTTTTTTTTTAAGTGAATGTAATATTTTGGTAGATTATGGTCAGGAACAACATGATGCATGTACTTTTAGAAAAAAAAATCAAATGTAGGGTAGTGTTACGCCATAACCATACCAAAACAAGAACATCTGGTACATATATAAAATGTGAGCATCTGGTTCCCTGGTTACCTGATTACTAACACATCTCTTTTTCTCTTTTTCTCTTTTCTCTTTTTTTTCTTTTTCTGTCTTGATAATATACCCGCCTTTTTTTTTTACAGCAATGGTTGAAAGAATCAATATAGCAGATTCATGGCAAGATGATTTGGAGCGTATGAGTATACATGATACTTTATCCCGAGAAGTAGGTAATTCATGCTTGTGCCTGAACAAATACGCTGACGTTTTTTTTTAGTCCTCTCAACTTGACCAACATCGATTTCAGCATCGACTAGATCAACGCGAAGATCATAAAGACGATTTATACCCAAATTATGAATCACCAGTGACACTCAGATACCGGGATTCTATCAGTTCAAACGCATCATCTTCACTATCAAGAAACTCGACTATATCCTCAACAGAGACTCGTTACTTTAGTGCAATGGGATCTCCACCTTTATCGAATGCACATGCATCGCCTTTAAGACTTCATACGACATGGAATGGCAATGACCCTACGCATGCACCTATACCAACGCCTTTATCCATCGCGGGCCCACGATTGGAAACTCCAAACAGTTTATCTCCTGTCAATTTACACTTCTCTCCGCACAGTATTACACCTCCCGTGGAATCCTATCACCAGAAGCGACTGACATTAAAGAGATACTCATCTGTTATTGACCCAAATGGATGTTTTGTTCCTAGCAAACCATTGCCATTCATACAAAAAACCGACGTTACAAAACACCATTATGTGATACCCACATTTGCCATGGTAATGACGCTGACTTGCATGCTGCCATTAGTCATATTCATGTCGTTTTTGATTTTGTAGGCAGGCCAAAGTCAAGCAGAGATCATGGAGCTGCTATTCAATCACACCGATAATCATCCATTCGCAGTAAATATTTCTCATTCTGTTGCATGATTGTAAACCTTAAAACCATATAATTTAGCCAAAAGAAGAATACGAAAGAACCATACCATGGCATATTGACCGCAACTCTTCGTTAATCACACTATCTCAGTACACAAGCTTGGGTCAAGATAATCCTGTCTCTCGAAATTACCTGTTAGGACTAGGCCAAAGATTAGGCATCACAACCATCCTCGTCATTGTTTCCATTGAAGTCATGTGCGTACATACCTGATACACAGCAGGCATTTGGAACTAACAATTTGGGTTTGATTGTAGTGGCACTGTATATCCTTTATTGAACAATCTGTTGAAAGCAATGGAAATCAATACCAACCCCCAAAATCTAGTACAAGCAGATCAGCCTTCCTGGTGGAGTCGTGTCGTGCTTGTCGTCAATCAGCAACATGGTGTCAATGATCAAACCGCCTATGCCCAGCGCAAAGCTGTACTAGTAGAAGAGATGCCTCGCATTCAAGAGAGATATCGATTGTCGCAGCCATTATCCATACTCTTCATCAGTACTCAGGTGTATGATCAGATAAAAAATACAGAAGAAGGCGTCAATTACAAGTTGTGTTGTCAAAGAATCCTGTGGCAAATGATGGAAAAGCACATGCTGACAGGTCGGTGGTGCAGTGAATTGCTGACGCTTCAAAACAGGCTCAACAATAACAGCAGCAACAGTGGCACCAGCTTGCTCAATGTATTGAATGAGGATGATGAGAGCAGTTCCAGCAGTGATGAAGCTATATTCCAGACTGTCATTGACTATGTTGATGGCAAAATCAAGAAACCAGAGAAGAAGAAGAAGAAGAACAAAAAGAAAGCCTTTGACACACAAGATGCAAAACACACTTCTCTACAGAGACGGTCTACAAGACGCCAAACGCAAAAACTGCATTGCTATGATGACGATGATGGTTCAACACTTCCTTTACCCATTAGACATCATATCAACTAACCTTACTGATATGTCCCATGCTTTGTAGTTTACTACCATTCTATGTTCATACCTTCATCCGTATATTTGGCATCTTACATCTCTGTAATAGGCTTCTGTATGCTTACTATATTCTCCTATTTGCAATGTACTTTGTACTCACAGTGCTAATACCTCAATAAAATCTCATTCGAATGCGCCACTATGTCATTACTCAGTACAGTAGCAGCACAGCTGCCTTCTGATTAGATCATTATACACTCATTTCTGCATGAAATACACGAGCATTCTTTATTTTTGAACGAGGTATCTTTCAGCAACATCGCCAAATTCATCCAAGACATCACGAATGGTCTTTCTGAAAGCAGTTGAATCCGTTTCCTTGTAGTGGTTCCAAGAAGAGACACTCATACGCACACGTTCCTTTCCAATAGCGTAATTGATACCATAGCCCTCAGGAACGACTGCACCAAACCCACCCCAAGCCAAATCGCCAGGAGACGTATTTGAAGTAGACAGTTTCCAGTATTGAGATCCCCAGTAAGAATCGTCTTGGAAGATGGCAGCATCATCAGAGGCAGCTTCCTCAGGTGTCATTTGACAACGTAGGCCTAACAGATGACGATCCACACCATGACCGTTACTAGCTGCCTTCATGTATTCTAAATGGCTACTAATGGCTTTGTTGAGCAGATCCAACTTGTCAGAGATCTACAAAAAGACTTCAGAATTGACTCTCTTTTCTCTCGCTGGTTTTTCTCTTTTACCTTGACATCCTTATCTTGCCATGCTTTTGTAAATGCAACAGTCTCTGTGGAGCAACTGCGCACAGTTTCAGTACGACCAGCAATGAACTTACGGGTAGAAGCAGATTCATAGGTAGGGCAGTGTGTACCATAATGTTTGAAGTAAGCGAGTTGGTAAACCATTTGGAGCCAGCCATCAGGACTGACCTTGGCTTGCTTCATAAAGTTGGATCCATATCCAGGATAATGAAGCAGAACGCTATCCAAATCATCAATCAGAGTAGATGCATTTTGCTCAGCTGTACGGATAGCGTCTCCCAATTTGCTGGATACCTGCCAAGTGAGAAGTGTAGGCTTTTTCAAGTTGGTGATAGCGGCATCAGACATGATTCCTTCAATTGGCTCCCTTCAAGAAAGGCAACGCGTTAATATGATGGTAGGCTACAACATGTATCTTTGATGCTTACTTTGACAAAACGTCGTCTACAATTCTAGAGGGAATGACAGCATCAGCAGGAGAATGCTACAAAGAGTTGAGTCAACTGTGATACTGCGCTCGTTATGATCCATGTATTTTTACCTCGCCATTGATACCAGCACGGCCATTGTTCTCTACAATAAACTGCAGTGCTTTGTCAAACCATCTGTTTTTGCCATTGCGGCCATGGAAAATGTTGCGGTGAGACAGATCAAGGTCTAATGGAGATTTGTAGTCATCCAAGCAAAAAACAAAGATGGAGTCATCGATATTCTTGAGAGATTTAGCATTGGTAGGCTGAGTTTCCATCTCTTCGCGAATCTATAGAAGAGAGTGTGGTCAATAGCGAGCACATATCTAGCCAACAAAAAAAAAAAAAAAAAAAACTTACAGCACCCCAAGTATCACGATGTTCAGTAGTCAGCACACCAACAGCAGCTTGACGTTGCTCAATGGGTGTGCTTTCTACTTGATCCACTACGCTTCTAAGCTGACTATGGCATCTGTCAATCGAATACTCGAGCCAATTCCACATACACAAACTTACGCTTCCAATGTCTTTACAGGCACAGTTTCTCCGTTGGGGCCAATGACTTGCACTGAAAAGATTTGATCCTTGTAGATCACATTGATATGCTTGGCCAAGCAAGGCCATTGAGTCACTACTCTGTCAGTACCTGAAGCAGCAATACGGCTTGTGCCAAACATATTTTTGAGCTGGTGCATACAAAAGGGACCTGAACGAGACACATCAGGAGGAATCTGCTCACTACAGGCACTGTGAGTCTTCTCACCATCACTCGCTCATTGGGATCTCCCCCCCCCCCACTTACTTGTTGACGCGGTTAGAGTAATCAATCAAACCAGCAATCATGCCAGCAGATCGCTTCAATTGAAAATCAGTTACTTGACCATCTTGAGCCCCTTGGCCTAATCCAGTAACAGGATCACGGAATTGATTCCACCAATTGACATTGATCAATGTAGGGATACGGTATTCTAAATAGCCCTTTTGTAGCCACAATTGATCCAACCAATTCAATCCCTTTGCTGTCTCTTGATCATCGAGTTGGTGGAGGCGAGATTGCAACTTTTGTGCTAACCCATCCGGCTTGAAGAAGCGGTCCACCTTCTTACCTACATCCGCATGTTCAGAGGCAGATAGCAAAGGCAATAAACTGCGCTTGTAGCGTGCAGCTGTCAAATGGAGCTCGGGAATAGGTAACCGAGGTAATTTGGACTGATTCGAAAAGGTAGAAGGAGCTTCGGTTGTATAACAACGGCGAGCAGCGGCATTGCTAAGATGAAAGGCATCAGTTTATCTGCATTTATGCGTGTTCCGCTTGATGCTGCGTATATACCCTGATTTGCGCAAAAGATGCAATCGACTCATGTTGAAAATTGCAAGGGAAAAAAAGAAGAAAGAAAGAAAGACAACTGATGGGAAAATAGGGGTGAGAAAACGGCTTAATATATATGCTTGAAGTTTTCCATGTGATTGTTACAAACAGGACACAGTTCAAACCGTCGTCACTGCAAATGAAAGTTACACATTGCATACATGCTGAACTCTTTATTGATATGGATAGCTCATGGTGTTGTTGGGTCTAGGATAGCCCATACTAGAAGGAGGTGGCGGTGGCGGTGGTCTATTATTGTGGTGTTGAGGCTGAGGTGGATAATACCCTCCTCCTTGAGGAGGTGGTGGTTGAGGAGGGTAATGTGGCTGCTGCTGTGAAGGATCAAGAAACCCGCCTGGAGGTCCATGATAGGGTGCTGGTGTAGGAAACGATTGTCTCTGCTGATTAGGATAGTTCACTATACAGCCAAGATCAGTATCCAATGCAATGCATTCAAACATTATACTTACAATGTGTCGGTCTGGTAGCTGGAGAGGGAGCTGGCTGATATGGGGCTGACAACAACGGTTGTGGAGAAGGCATTACAGGCGAAAACATTTGAGCTGTACCCATGGAAGAGGAAGGTCTTGGTTGAGGATGTGGATAAGGCTGCGGTTGCGAGACAGGAGGAGGAGGAGGAGGAGGTCTATGTGGCTGCTGAATAGGCGGTTGAGGTAGAGGTCTTTGGTGGTGTTGCACTGGAGGTGTTTGAATGAGCATTGGAGGAGGTCTACTGTTATAATGTGGTTGCTGTGGTTGAGGAGGATAGTTTTGTGGGTGATGTAGATGGTGCTGCTGTGGTGGAGGTGCATGGGGAGGTCTGTGCTGCTGTTGAGGAGGTGGTGGACGGAAGTTGCCACCGGGAACATGTCCAGGAGGATACTGGTATCTCACCTGCTGCTGAGGTCTCGCTGAATTTTGCTACATACATGTTGAGTTTTCGAGCGTTCTCAAGCCCAATGTTACCCATCTCAACTTACTGCTGAATAAAATGTCAATTCCAAATAAATGACACCTGTGCCTTGCCGACCGCGAAAGGTCAATGGAAAGTAGCCATCGTGTTCCTTGTCTCTCAGTACCTTTTTCAAATCCACAATGCCATCGCCCATCAGATTATTAGGTTTGGTGTCTTTATCAAAGATTTGAACATGCATCTGATATTGTCCAGCGGCTACAGGAATGTTGACCTGCACAAGAGTTTAGTCTTTGATTGTATTGATACAAAATCCAGTTGCTGTTGTACCTGATCGTCCCAAATGGGGTAGAGTCCTCCACCGTAATCTGTCTTTGTTCGCTTGATAACATCTCCCACTCTAAACAAACAAAACGGATCTTGTTTTCCTGGTGCCTATGATGCATCGTATTCAAGTTTAATCAATTGTTGACATGGAGCACCACCAATCTCGAGTTACCTGATGCTGCAACTTTTCCTGTTGAATGCACAAACATCGATTAGATCTCATTGAATTGAACGCATCTCGCTTATATCGATCACTTACAGCTTTTAGAGCAACGACAACCAATTCACCTGCTAAAAGAGGAGGATGAGCCATTGGTATTCGACGAGTGAAAAAATACGCAACAAAAATAGAATAGAAGGTCAAGAAAAGCTCAAATACAAGAGGTGAAAACACAAGTCAAACAATCACTGAGTGGGAAAACGACTCCACCATGGCCTCCATCCTCCTTGGTATACCCCACATGGCCAAATAGCTGAGACTTCCTGGGTAAAAATACGCTGGAAAAATGATACGACATTTTGTAATTGCAGATTACCTGGTGCATTTGTCTCTGAAACTTGGCATGTGTGCACCACCCTATTGTTGGTCCTTGGACATACATTGGCATTTTCATTATCATCATTATGATGGCTGAAAATCTATAAAAAGCTCTTGGTTTTTAATATAGTTGACTGTTTTATATGCGGTACCTTACTACAGAATGTACATGGCAAATGCTCGTCTATAATAAATAGAGCGGCTCAAAACAGCAAGGTTATTCTAGCTATCTCTGGTTGCCAAGATGTTATGGCATGTAGTTGATTTGAATCATTGGAAAAAGTGCAATACTTGAAATTGTATAGTACACATAGACAATGAGCAGGGTAAAGCTTCCTGTAATGTTCTGTAGAGTATCGAAAGTCAGCAAAGTGTACCTGATCACCTTTCTGACTTGCTACGTAGCGAGCATTTTTATCCGAGTCTTATACACACTACTAATACTCGATAGGTATAATGTGACATTTAAGCCTAGTGGATGAATACTCGAAAATGAACCGGAATCCACCTATAAACACTTACAAAGATGTGCTAGTGCAACTTGCACGCATAGCATACATTATAGAATGTAAACAAATCAACATCATTCGTATAGTCAGCAATCGGAATGGAGCAAATCCAACAGAGTTGCAGACATCTTTCTTGATTAAATTAGTAGACAAGCTGTGTAACTGTACCAAATGTACCAATCTCACCTCTGTTCACACTTGCGAATGTCTGTTGATTTAGATGGTTTAGCTTACAGGTAAAGCCATATCAAGTAAAAAGGGTTAAAGCTTAGTTTCCACACTGCATTTATACATGTATAAACCTCATCGTGTCCTTGTTTTTTTTTTGTTGCTGTAACATTTAGAAAAGCTCCTTTGTTTTTGTGATACCCGACCTTTTTTTTTTTTTTTTTTTTTTTTTTTACTTTCATAATTTGCCCCCCCCCTCCCCCTCTTTTTTGAACTCTTTCTTTCTCTTTTTCAAATTGTAGCTATACATTGCTGTACATTTTATTATAGAGACCTCTTCTTGTTTCCGCGCCAAACCAAACCAATCCATCACTGTCGTAAACCATGACAACCACATCTATTCTTTCGGAACGTCAAAAAGATGAACTGTGAGTAACCAACATTGTGTGATGTATAAATGAAAACGACTACTCACCACTCGATGATAAAAAGACATAAAGCAATCCTGGACTACTTGAGCTCTTCGGGATTCAACCAAGCATATCTCGCCCTGAAAACCGAGACAGAAAACGATGATTTTATACCTGATCCCAAGCAGAAATATGCTGGACTCTTGGAGAAAAAGTGGACATCTGTGATTCGATTACAAAAAAAGGTACCAAAAAGAAAAGCTGCAAGGTGGCCTAAAGATATACTCACGCTATAGACAAGATTATGGAATTAGAGACAAAAACAACACAGATGCAGGAGGAATTAAACAATGCTCCTACACGCAAACCTACTAGCTCAGTTGATTGGATACCTAGAGCACCTGAAAGACATTCGTTAGTGGGTCATCGTAGCCCTATTACACGCGTTGTGTTTCATCCTATTTATCAGATACTTGGATCTGCATCCGAAGACACAACCATCAAGATTTGGGATTATGAATCTGGAGAGTATGAAAGAACACTCAAGGGCCATACAAAAGCAGTGCAAGACATCGCATTTGATGCAAAGGGAAACCATCTCGTATCATGTTCCGCTGATTTGACTATCAAAGTATGGGATACAAATAACGATTATAAATGTATTCGTACTCTGTATGGTCATGATCATAGCGTATCCTCAGTCGCTGTCATTCCAACAACAGATATCGTTGTATCGGCTTCTCGCGATAAAACTATCAAATTATGGGAAATGTCATCTGGATATTGTGTCAAAACGCTAGTAGGGCACCTAGAATGGGTGAGATCAGTATCCCCTAGCGAGGATGGGCGACTGTTAGTCAGTTGCTCCAACGATCAGGTAAGAACCAATGTGTGCATGCGTGCAAGTAGAACAAGTTGCTCATATGTGCAATGTCGCAGACTGCCCGTGTATGGGATGTTCAAAAAGGAGAGACCAAAATGGAATTTAGAGGTCATGAACATGTTGTGGAGTGCGCTATATTTTTACCAGTGGCATCTTATCCATTTGTATGGGAGTGGTTGGAGCAGAATGTCAAATCAAGCAAAGACCAGGCCGTTCCTGGACAATACATCATTACTGGATCTAGAGATAAGACAATCAAGCTATGGGATACTGCATCAGGACAATTACTAAGCACTTTGGTGGGCCATGACAATTGGGTGAGAGAGATGGTGGTCCACCCTAGTGGAAAGTACCTCGTCAGTGCATCTGATGACAAGACAATGAAGATTTGGGATTTAAAGAGTGGAAGATGTATAAAGACGATTGAAGCACATTCACATTTTGTCACTTGTCTATCCTACTGCACAACTACACCACTGGTAGCTACTGGCAGTGTTGATCAGTCACTCAAAATTTGGCAATGTCGATAAATTTTTATCTATAAAAATAATTAAAAAAAAAAAAAAGCATGAAAACAAGGAAACAATCTATATCTTAACTGCGGTCCAGAATGCACACTCATATACATATTTCAGCATACCATCTGGATTGGATGTGTATGTGGTAGGCACCATATATTCCTTTTTGAACTTGAATCCCATCTTCTTGGCCACTTCTTTTACCTGTTCCAAACTGAGTTCGATGGAGGCATCACCTGAAGACGAATCTTCAAAGTGGTATAAAAGGGGTCCTACGGATGGCATGAATTTTTCACACTTTCGTCGTAAGGTTAAGCAAGTTTGAAAATACCAATATTGATCCATGTGCCGTTTTGTTTCAAAGCCTTGTGAATGACTTCCATGTACTCGAGTATATTTTTAGCAGTGTCCATGAAAAAGCATGTAACAACCACATCCCATGCTTCCTTGTTGTTTTCCTGCGAATAGACTTCGATGAAATCACCAGCAACCATGGAGAAATCCACAGTGTCCAGCAAGTTAGCAGGCAATACGTCTGGAATCATGACGGGATCCAGTTGTTTTTCATCTGATTTGATGTTTGAATTCGAATGAATGAACGGATAGATTTTATATTCGTTTTCAGTCTTGAGTCTATTGAGAACAAAATGCGACGCAAACAGCTATAGAAACTGAGGATAAGTCATGCAGAATGGTAATCATTTCTCTTTGTCTGACTCCTTTACCATATAATATGAAAATTCATTTCCTGATAATTATGATTTAGTTGCTATGGAAACCATGATTATATTTGTACCTGCATATAATTACCTTGACAACTAAATCCTATAGAGAGCAAAACGAGTCCATTTAGTACTTTGCATAAAGGGATATTCATTTGTTGCATACCTGCTTTAGCAATATCAAACGCCAATCGACCTAGTCCTGCGCCAGGTACCAGCACACGGACGGCGCCTCTTTTTTGTTTGTTAATATGACAAAAGGTCATTCAGCGTTTCATGTAATTACCTATCATGCATGGGCAAATCCTTATAGATCTCATTCAGCTCTTGCACAACGGGATCATAAGTTACTTTACGTTCACCTTCTCCCTAATGTATCATCATGATTAGACTCGCAAATGGATGATATCATATCATCCCAATTCAAATGTTACCTCTTTGGACCAATCTCGAACAAATTGCTTCAATGTGCTTCTCACCTTGTCCATGTCCATAGGAGAGACAGGAGGGTTCTGTTGTTGTTTCTGTGTAGGATGGATCAGTCGGCCATCATGTAATTCTATGAAATCGATGCTTTACTTTGGAATTCTGCTCTGCTGGCTCATCGTCTGCATCTTCCGTAAACATGCTGGCACTTTTTACAATGGCACGAATCAAGTTCATATTCTCTTCAATGCGACCATCGACTTGGTTTACTTTATCCAAATAGTCTGGAATTAACTTTTTGTGATGTTCAGAGAGAGACAGATAATCGCGTCTTCTTCTGTGATTATGATTGAGCGAATGACGTTTATAATAAGCGAATGCTGTAATCACTTTGATAAGATGCAACTGTTCTGATTGAATGGGATCTTCTTCATTTAAAGTGGCATGATCATGACTGTGCGTATGATCATGCTGGTGTTCATGTTGGTGTTGGTGTTCCATCTTTGTTAAAATGGGAAAGCAGCAGAAAAAAAAACAGATGAATATAAGGGGGCGGGGCCGGTTGTCAGACAATGAGGGGGGGTAGACGACAATCTTGAGTAGGAGATATTAAATCTTTTTGTAGAACTGACATGATCCATCTCATGTTTCGACTTTACAAACCTTCTTCTGCCTTTATCAAGCCACAGCAGGAAAATAAAGGGGTAAAGGGAATATGTTATTATTTATTATTATTTTTCAGGAGCGAAGGCATCAAAGAAAAGAGATAGATAGATAGAGAGAATGCAGATATCATGCAAATCGGTTGTATTCATACTTTTTCTCTTATTTTTTAGCATTTGCCCTTATTCATTCACATGTCAGCAAAGATGTAATGGCTGTTGATTTGTGTGTAATGTTACAATAAAACGAAACATCAAAGACTTGTAGCAGAGAGCATCCATGATAGCGATGGATACAACTGTGAATCACTCCGCAATACACACATATCAACAACAATTTGGCGCGTGATATTCTTGTATAAACGGGCCCATAATAATCATAATAAAAACAAGTAAGCAAGTGTATATAAATAGTAGAAAGAAAACAAACGGCAAATGTTCTTTTCTCTCTCTCTCTCTCTCTCCTCCTTCTTCATTCCACCTTTCAAACTATACACCATGTCTGTTCTGAATGTCTGCACAACAGAGATGGATAGATATAGGCATCATCAACATCAGAGAGCCTCCTCTCTATATCATCGCTTTTATCCAATGTCGAGCGACGATTTGAGTTCATATACGGCCTCATCAAAGAATTCCTCATTTGAAGTCATATTTTCAAGATTACTAGATGCTCTTATCTTTACTTCAGCCATTGCCATCACAGCATACAGCTATCTCACTGGTACACTGCTTGATCAACCAGTCTCGTATGTAGAGGCACCTCCAAAACCCATCCTAAAGAAAATGGCCACAAGGCGGATTGAAGATTCAAAGAGAAGAAGGACTCAGGAATGGGCAGAACAGCAGCTACTGACACAGCCTATTGTGCTCACTGGTGTTGCTCCGTCTAGCAGCTCAAAAAGCAGCAAAAAGAAGAGATCCCAATCTACATCGCATATCAAGGTAACTCCCATCATCACATTTGATAAACACAGATGTACTAACTTGGCTCATTTTAGGTTCAACCACTTGATCTAGACATGAAACGCGACAAGAGAAGAACACACTCTTTACCTGCAAAACCAGTAGAAAGAGAGGATGAAATCATATCTCAAATTCAATCACTTATCCAACTTGGTCAAGACGCTTTATCAAGCCCTGTAAATTATTAAATCATACACACACATATAAACTTGTTCATGTAAATTTTTCTCTTTCAAATTATTGTAATACACCACCTTCTCCCACTCCCTTTTCATATGCTTTTCTCATTTTAAACAACAACAGCAACAAACAACACAATTACATGTCAGCAAATCATCTCGAAAAAAAAAATATAACAAACCTATTCTATTTTCTATCATATCAATGTAAAACAAGGTTGAATGCTTATTTCATATGAAAATAAATGTGGCTATTCTGTCATGAAACAAGCCTGGTAGGAGATGTTCTCGATGAAACAGCGTATTAAAGCCGAAAAAAATTGTAAACAATGCGTAATAATCAATATATATATATATATAAGCCTGGGTACATGATGAAGGCACATGCAACCGACAAATGGGATGGGAAAGTTTAAACCGATTAGCAAGTGGAAGAGCTATGTATAAACCTAATGGTTGCATTCGCAATGTAAATGTTGTGATCAACATTGCGTTTGGCCAAGCTTCTTTTGTATTGTCTCGTAGTAAGCAAAGACTTGTAAGAAGATGGCCTGGGTAAAGTGATGATGCGAAACAGCGAGCCAGCCATATATCCGTGTCAGATACGGCCCTCTTCAAGTTCCAGAGCATTAGAGACAGACCACCCTGAGATGAATATCTGTAATATAATAGCACAAGCCCACTTGATTGGATAAGCATTAGGCCATGTATGTCCAACATTGCCAAGCTAGCAATACCTTCAAATGCCTGATCTGTCGCTGACTGTTGTTGTGCAAGATGTCCCCGCACAACCCTCCTCAAAAAATGGAGGGGGGTGCGCCTAAAAGTCTGTTGAGCTCCCAAGTGGATTTTGATTAAACATGGATAGGCTGTAAAACAAAACAATTTCTCTCTCTTTTTCGATAGTGTATTATACTACTTTTTTCCCACTGTCTGTTACTCATAAATCTATATTTTCATTTCCAAAATTATGAGTCGCATTCTTTTAAAACAACTCAACATTGTGGAAAGACGCTCACTTTCCACCCTGATCTCCAACAAAAGAGCTTTACAGCAACCCATTCGTTCATTGAGCATGTCAAATACTGCACTAGCAAATAGACGTTTAACTGTTACAAAGAATTGGCTCGCATCATCAAATCAATCCAGAAACGTAAGCATCGCCCTGCACTGTGGCATAGAGACACAATCACTAACACAACGCATCTAGATGTCTGCCGCCTCTTCAACCACAATTTCTGGACTCGAAGCTGCTCAAGTAAGACATACACTTCGCCATGCTCTCGCCCCACAATAGCATATTGACATGTCACTTTTTAGGCCGAGATCCTCCCCAAGAGCAACTTGGCAGTACGCGAAATCATCTTGAATCGTCCCAAAAAGCTGAATGCCTTGAACTTGAACATGGTGCGTGCCATGACTCCCGAACTCCAGGTAGGTGCCATCGCTATCGCTCACAAAAAGTTTCATTAGACTCACATTGAATGCACTTGTATTTTAGGCGTGGGAAAAGTCTGATTTAGCTAAAATCATCTTACTAAAGAGTTGTGGTGGAAAAGGTTTTTGTGCAGGGGGTGATGTCAAGAGTAAGGTTCAATCTAGCTGTACCTCTCTACAAGAGACTAACTTGTTGCTATAGCTGTTGTCGATTTAGCTGAAGCTGGAGACCCAAATGCCACCAAATTCTTTGAGGATGAATATCAATTGGATCATTTAATCGCAACATTGGATACACCTTTTGTCGCTATCATGGATGGTATTACCAGTAAGTAGTGTGTGGGATGGGATCATGCAAAATACAGGGCTTGGCATTGACAATGCGTGTAGTGGGCGGTGGTGTCGGCTTGTCTGTTCATGCTCCTTTCCGTATTGCTACTGAAAAGACCTTGTTCGCTATGCCTGAAACCGCCATTGGCTTCTTGCCCGAAGTAGGTGGATCCTTCTTCTTATCCCGTTTGGATGGTCAATTGGGTGTCTATCTTGGCTTGACTGGCAAGCGTCTCAAGGGCACTGACGTCTTGTATTCTGGTGTCGCGACTCACTTTGTTCCATCGTCTCGTATTCCTGCTCTCGAGGCGCGTTTATCCGAACTCGATAATGCTTCCCACGATATTGTGAACCAAGCCATTGAAGAATTCTCTGCTGAATTGGACAACGAACCTGCCTTCTCCTTGTCTGGCGAAACTCGTCAAGTCATTGACCGCTGCTTCAAGTATGATACCGTTGGTGAAATCGTACATGCGTTGGAGAAGGAACCCGAGACTGAATTCACAAAGGAAACTTTGGGCTTGTTGAACAGCATGTCACCTACTTCTCTCAAGGTTACCTTGCAGCAAATCCGTAACGGTGCTTCTTTGAGCTTGGCCCAGTGTTTCAAAATGGAGTATCACCTTGTTCAAAAGTTCTTGCAAGGCCATGATTTCAAGGAGGGCGTCACTGCCACTTTGGTCACTCGTTCCAAGCCTAACTGGGTGCCTAATCAGTTGAGCGATGTGGATGACACAAAGATCAAGCAAACCTACTTTGACTCACCTTCTCCCTTGCGTTTGGAGCTGTTGAACAGCCGTGATTTCAAGAAGTATCCTCACCGTAAATACATGTTGCCTTCTGAGGAAGACATCAAGCGTATCGTCACTGGAGAAGCTGCTGATGTCGGCAACTACGCATTAAACCGTCAACAAGTTCTTGATCATCTACTTAGAGAACGCCAAGGCAAGCAAGGTCTCAAGCAAAAGGTGTTGGAGGTCTTGGATCGTAAGACTGTAGAAAATAAGAAGGATGGTGAAACTTTGAAATGGGTTTATTAAGGAAACAAAATAAAATATAAATCATCTAAAATCAGTGCTTTTTGTGTCAGTCTTTTTTTTTTATCTCCACTAGGAACGATTCACAATCTCTTCCACCATCTCCAAAATGTCCTTTCCTTCATATCCCAACAAACGTGCAGCGCCAATCAGTGCACTTAGGCTCTTCATAAACAACCCTCTTCCAGCTTCCTTGTTGACTTCTTGTGTGTTGCATGGTTTACGTGCAGGTGATTGAGTGCCTGACTCGGGATAAGCACCAGGAAATTTGTTGTTGGTATCATGGGCGTCGCTGCTGTCTTCTTCTTCGCCAATACTCACATCTTCTATGCCTGATCTCAACCGGGAAACTGCTTTGGGGAGGGGATTGATTTGAGTCATTGGTTGCACAAAAGGACGATTAGCATTGTTGTTACGTTGTTGAGGGAGAGATGTTTGAAGCATTTGTGTCAGCTCTGATAGAGCAGCAGTATGAGCGTCCATCAAGTTGGGCACACTGGGGACGGTAAATAAGGGGTTGTAAGATTGGTCATATTCTTCGTCTATTTCCTCCTGGTTGCGTTCATCGTTCAGTGCGCTCAAAGGCTGTAAGATACGTCCGCTTGTTCTAGATTGACTTGGTCCTTCTTCTTCTGCATCACCTGGGCCGGGAGTTAGAGTTCCAGGATCTTTGCTCCATCTTGTGTAATATTCATCTTCTGAATCATCCGAGTCTCTCAAATCAGCGCTAAGGGGATGAGGTCGACGAGGATTGCCTGATCTTTGACTGCGACATGAGCCTTCATCGGACGACCAATCGCCCCAATAATCCTCTGGCGCTTCTTTGTTCTCTTTGGCACTCTATGCACTTTTTATTCAACACAGATCCCTACTGTATGATTCAGAATAACTTACATCGGGTGTTCTGGCAGTAAACGTCTTTTTGTTCCTTGTCACCTTTGTCAAAAAGATTCTCTCAGCATCCTCAATCGTTCTTGACCAATTTGTGAATATATCCAGCCATTCTTCCTCTGTCAACTCTTTTGTGTTGTAGTACTTGATGTCAGAAATATCTCCAAGACCTTCTTCCAGCAACAAAATCACCACAAAATGATGAGAATCCTTCTCGGCAAACTCGATGATCGCATGCAGGGTATTAGCATCCATACGCTTGTAGTAGACTGGCTTTTGGTAGAGCTCATCGGCCACAGATCCTTGATTTGACCAAAGAGATTCAATCATACTAGGGCAGTTATCTTCTTGCCACTGAACGACCTTGTCCCACTCTTCTGGATTATTCTCGCTTGGTCCCAGGAGACGAACGCGTTGACGTAAAAGCTGTGAGGAGATTGGTAATAGGCCTAGATAGTGATGTTGCTGTCTGTGATCAAGGGCGGTATAAGCGACGGAGCGAGCGATGTTCTCGTTAGCGTAATCATCAATAGCTTCCATTTTCTATAAACTTGTGATATGGGAAAAAGCAGAAAAGAGAAAGAGATGAAAAGTTTGGCTCGTGTGAGTGTTAAATAAGCAGGTCGTCGGCTTTGAAATCACCCTAAATGTCTTGGGAGTACAATCCTGTAAAACACACAGACATAATCGTGCCATGATTTTGACCTAAAACAAAACAATGATGCCATTTTCATGTGCAAGTACAATTCGACAACTAAAAGAGATTGTTAGCTTTCTCTCAGGTTTATAGAAAGATTTGAGTTTCGCTGTGCATAGATCATGGCAAGGATATAATCATTTCAGTTAATGCGATATGTATAAGATTGAATTTAGTAAGGGCTTGTGCAATCATTTAAATTCCCATGTACATCTCGTTCTGCATACATAATGTAAAATGTCCGTGAATTACATAACGAATCTAATTTATCCCAAACTCACAGACCCGGTGATTGATGGCACCATCATTCCTAATTTTTGTAATAGAAGAGTGCTGCTAGATACTCTCAAAACATACATTTTTATTATTCATTGGCTATATACTGGAATAAGAAGCAACTTTTTCTTCTGCCAACTGCTATGCTGATAACTCTTTTCAACATCCGTATCCAAAGACTGAAATGCGCGATTTCGCAACGCTTAATGCAGATTTGATAGAAGAAATCGTGTACTTCATACAACATGAGAGACCAAGCAGGTTAACAGAGATTGTCCTATTTACAAACCATTTAATAATCGTGAATACAAGGGCCCTCCTTGATTTTGTGTCATTGAATATCCGTTCTTGCCTCAGATGCTGTACACACACAACACCAGTTTATCATTGAACCATAGCAAAAGTTTATCTACTATTGTATTGAGGCTTGATGAAAGTGAAAAGTAGGAATGTATAAACAGCTAAGCGAAAGAAAAACAAGCTACTTATCAAATACAAGATTTCTTCAAATTACAAAAATCGATGAGCAGTGTTGCATCCGAAAATTGTTCAAGCAAAGACACAGTGCGAAAGCCGTACAATAATATTATATTAACGAAACAGGGTTATCATTTTCAAGTTCACCATATTACCTTTTGTTTACAAGCAATAGAGCCATAATTGAAAAAAGTTGAAAGACACTCTAATTAAAACTACTTGATTATATCATGCTTCGTTGTCGTTTGGCAAAGGCTTTAAGCTATTATGCAGCACATCTCATCAAAAAAATGGAGAAAGCTTCTTTGCGCCCTTTGTCGATACTGAAGACCCCCAAATGCAGTTTACTTTACCACGGCAAAAGTACATTTTTTTAATGACATTACGGAAACGTCCATGTGGTACTCAAGTCTATAAAATACGTTTAGGGTGTGCATTGACTAATGCTGGCTCGCAAAGAGAACTTTATATGCGCCACTACTGTAGCAAAACTTAGCTTGGATAAATAGATTTTGGACAACTTGGCTGAGGCTAACCTATATCGACTCTTGTACCGTAGAATTTATAAGAAGCATCGTAAATCTTTCTTCGCTCAACTTTGATACAGAATTTTGATGTTTGTTTCCCCTATCGCTTTGACACCGACTCAGCGTGTCCATTATCAGCCATTTATTCTTGATGATGAGTGTCCAACATTGTGGATAGACTTATTAAGTCTCGATTTACGGCTAGATATAATATCTTTTTTGTAGACGATCATCAAATATGCTCTGCTGACCTGACTAGCATTTCGTTTAATCCAGGCATATCTTTAGAGTCGAAGTTACTACACATTAGTATCAATGAAGTTTTGGAATTACTATAATAGCACTTTTCGAAAAAAAAGATTTATGGCACAAAATTACAATGCACGCGTTTACCGCTTAAAACTTGAGTTCTGTACAGTTCAGAACATCCAGATAACCAAGTGAAACTATATTATCCTTACTCGTTTGGCAATATACCTACTACGCCTTGTTTATAGATCAAATTCTGTCCAAATCTAGCCATTTTCAAACACGAATAACTCATGCCACAAAACGTTCTGTACGCTAGGAATAACACCAAACGGCTCTCCTTTGATACGCCTTACTTACTGATGTTTTATCTCAAATTTTTTTGGGTCATTGCAAATTCATGAAAATCCTCATATTTTTCGTGTGTACTAGTAAGGGGAAATTCTTAAAAATCAAACGATTGCGTTTTTCACCTCGAAAATGAAGACTTTTCTTAAGATATATATCAGATCAAATTGATCGTAAAGATGGAATGCAACGCTGAAACCTCTTTCTATGAGACTTATATATGTTGAATTTTGACATATCCATAGAAAACTTGTTTTCATATTTTTGCAAATTGCTCATTATTTTCGGTCTGAAAGCTAAATGTAACCAGCATCACTCGGTGCACCTTCATTGACTCTTTGTGAATGCATTAGAAAGTAAAGTATAACAACGATAATTTTCATAGTCGAATTTAACAACAACGTTTAAAGAATGTCAGATCACGTCAAATTTGAACACGAAAATACCCCCACTGCACAATTTCAAATTTGAGTGCCGCAGCGACAGCTACTGTGACAGAAGACTGAGGCCGAATCTACTGGCTGTGACGTTGGATAGGGCGCCCTCTCATTTTTTCATACCAACGTTTTTTTCACCCTTTTTCCAAAACGCGCTCAGTATCAAACCATGTTGATTTTGGAACCCTTTTGATTTAAAATAACACTCTATCATCTGATAACACGGCCTTGCACTGTTAAAGGTACTTGATACTGCTTCTTTGAATTGGAATATAATAGGTACCATTCGATAACGAGCACAGAAAGATATAGAACAAGTACTAATAATCGAATTTGTTTATTAGGTTTCGATAATTTGTTTTACCTGTTTGATGTGGGTGCTGCTGCCATTACTTCTCTGCCACCTCCTCTGCTGTCTGCTTCTTTGGTTCATTATGTCTGGCTGTTGCTTTTTTGGTCTCTATCTTTGGCGGTTCCTTCTTTAGTCGTTGTCTAGTCTCTGGTGACGCTCGTTATTCGGTTTTTCTATGGTGCTGCTGTTCTTGCTACTGGTGTTCTTGCTACTGGTGTTGCTATTGATGTTGCTGCTGCTAGTCTGGTCTTTGTTGGTCTGCTATCTCTGTTGTATGCTTGTTCTTTGTTCTATCTCTGCTGAATGCGTATCTCTGGTCTATCTGTTGTGGTTCTGGTAAGTGGTAAGTATCTTTTTTCTTCTGGCGGCGATAATATAAATCTTCTTTGAACGTTTGTATTATTGCTTGCTTTATCGTGATAATGCATTCGTAATGTTTGCTTTGTTGCGCTTTTTTTTTTCTTTTTTTTGTTGGCTGTGATATGATCAGTTCAACGGATGCTTGCAATGTTGTTGCTTCTTATGTATGAACAACAAGCATGATGTGCTGCTATATATCTGTATTGCCGTTGCAATACTACTTTGTTATATGGTCGTGGATTGTTGTTTGTGTCGCCTCTGACGCTTCACATGAAACAACATTAGTCATTATGCTGCATTGCACACTTATACTACCATTGCTCATGCAATTATGTATGCTTGTGTTCCTTTGCATCAGACTATTATCATGCACTTTGCTCATGTATGCATCTTTGTTGCAACAACAGCGAGCTGTTCTCAACATTCTTTGATGTTGTATTTCTTATGCTTTTCTTTAACTCACTTTTTTTTACGTGAGTGTTGCTTTTTTGCCTACATACTACTACTATATTACTACTATAGTACTGTAGCATGTTCTTTTCTTGTTCTTTCTTTTATCATGTTTCTTTGAAGCATACCTTTTTTACGTTGTGTGGATGTGCCTATCCCTGAAGCTCAACAAGACATTATCCGAGGCTAGGAGGTAGATAGGCTGCCTCCACTTGGTTATCGCTACTTACTTTAGTGATGATTGAGGGTCTCAATGCCTGAATTTAAAGCTAGGTGGTGTAAGTAAGGCATGCTCTAGCACTTGGGGGAAGTTTGATGATAGCAGCGGCTATATTGCTATTATAGCGGCGCTTAAAATTTTGCCTCACATCAAAACAGAGGGAAACCCTCGCAATTTTTTTTTGGGTCAGCGGAGTTTTCAAGCGATTTGATTGGCTCAGAGGTTCAGGGACCGAAGGATTCTAGCTAGTTGATTTTCTGTTGATCTGCCATATAATATAATTTGTTTTTGTAATAAAAGGGTTGCAGTAAAAAAGGGGTTAAAAAAGCAGGTAGAATACTGTTAAAATCCTTCTTTATTTGAAATTAAGATAATGTGCAATAAAATGTATATTCTACGTCTCTATTTATATTATTTGGTTTATATCTCTTATCTGGCAGCAGTTTAGTAGTTGCCAGTGATTCCATTACTTTATATATTTTTGTTGGGTCATTTAGTTGTTGATCTGATGGATCAAGAACGGTATTTCAATATATGGTTTTTGAATCATGCGTAAAGAATAGCTCTTTATTGTTGAGCCTGTATCCTTTTTAGGGATATTTATGATACAACACATTACAATACCCTTGACATTTACTTTAGTATCTGTCATCTCTTATTTTAGAGCATTTAACCCATGCTATCATCATGCTAATATTATTATTATGCATGCCTATCTGCTGATGGTAGCATGGTTTGATAGAGATGACATTTATTTTGGGCTTTGTTTATGATGGGTTTCTAGTCTAGTTCACTTCACTATAGTAAAGATGCACGCTTATCTCGCACATCGTGTGAATGAACCACTCCTGATCACAGCGTATTCACTCACACCCATGATGGTCGTAAAAAATGATGTATCTTTATCCGAATAAAATCAAATCAATAACAAGCATATTCAAATATGACAACTATGCTTTGCTTCCGTAGTTGCACAATATCCCAGATAAAGGGTTCCATACTTCAATAACAAACATCACACTTTAAACCATAAGGTTACATTAAATCATGCTATGACGATAGCTCACTCAAGCCCATCAAGATTACTCAAATCGACCCTTATGGCCATTTCTCTTGCATTGATTACCACTTTAAATCAAACATCAAG